GCTTCTTATGCTAATATTCACTCAGATCTGCTCCACGTTATACTAATGATTATTGTCCTGATTTGCATGATCTTTGTCACCTTCAAGCTACGAATGACTTGTATTTCTTGATGCTGTGTCTGTCTCTACCTCCAGAACAATGATTGCTCAGCGACTTGAGATGATCAACCAGTCTTCAAACTCCAAAGGACTTGATATTTTTCCAGATAGAGACCGTGCCTAAGACTCATTTCTTGATCACCTCCTTATTGTTCAGATGCTGCCAGAGCCTCTGACTACATTTATCCTACGGAAGATCGAGCATGTGGCCTCCCCCCGACAAGCCACACGACTTCCCAGGAAAGACCATTTCTAGCAATGAGAGAAACATCATTATATCAAACAGTTGATCCTAGATGCTTTCTGCTGAAGGATCTTGATCAGAAGGGGAAATGTGGACAGTGAGAACAAAATAGAGTAACATACGCCAAGGATTCTGAAATGGAGCTGGGAGACCATTAAGGAAATGGGGCTCATACAGGCACACCACATCTCTACCAGAGGGAATGTTAACTTTTGAGCTGTGCTTCTCTGTTGTCATCTTGACCTTCTTTCAAGAAATACGCTTACTCTCAAAGATAAGAACTTCCTGCCTTAGAGATGGTCTTAGCAACTGATCACATACAGCCAAGAAGTAACAGTTGTTGCCAGTGCCAATCACAAATTTTGCAAAACGACCTGTGTGATTTTTCTCATTTTGCCTTTATAAACCCTTACCTCCTCGTTTTCCTCGGAACACATTTTGGGTTTCTGCCTGAATCTGGGTCTCCTGAGTTGCAATTCTAATTGCCCAAATAAATATCTGCTATTTGAAGTGTAGTGAATTTTTCCTGAGTCGACACCTCATACTTCTGGAGGCCAGGAGTTCCAGATCCAGGTCTGGGAGGGTTGATTTCTGGTGAGGCCTCTCCTCCTGGCCCAGAGAGGGCTGCCTTCTTGCTGTGTTCACATGGGGCTGGGGGAGAGAGCAAGCTTTCTGGTGCATCTTCTGATAAGGATATTAATCCTCTTGGGTCAGGACCCACCCTTATGACCTCATTTAACCTTAATTACTTCCTGTCTCCAAATAGAGTCACACTGGGGGTTAAACCTTCAACACTTGAATTTTCGGAGGACAAAATTCAGTTGTGGGGGACTGTAATTGACCACTCGAAGATGTGTCTCTTTGGCATGAGGATTACTTTGGGCTGGTTACTTCAAAAACTGCAGACATGAGAGAAACTCTGAAAAGCAGAATTTACTTACCCTTTGTTAAGGGATATTTATATTTGTAAAGGAAATCTCCATCTGTAAAGCTGTCTCCCTCTCTGTACCAGGAAGATGGCGGGATGACCTTATCTCTAGAAACTCTTATCAATTCAGAAGGCAAGGACTTAAATCTGCATGATAACCTTACCCTTGCTTACTGTGCTTTTCTGGTAATCTCCCATAACTGACTCCCCCCACCCCCAACATCCTCCTTTGTCTTTAGCTAAGGATGGTATTTAAGGTGAGAGCTTCTACACTTTTGGCAAGTTGCTCAGTTTGCCTGAGTTTCTCCCATGTATACATGTTATAAAGCTTTGTTTAATTTTCTCCTGTTATTCTGTCTCGAGTAAATTTAATTCATTTTCTGGCCAGAAGGACCCAGAGTGGGTAGAGGAAATGTCTTCCTCCCCTACACAGTCTATAGCACCCTCCTTCTTCAGGGCTCCCACCACACCATGTACATGACTGAATTGTAGCCTGTGTCATGTTGTGTTGTTAAGCACTATTTATTTTTCTGATTCTAAAATAACACATACTTAGAGTAGAAAGTGTGGAAAATGCAGAAAAATATGAAGAAAATAAAATATGTAAACACACAACATAGAGATAAGTATTGTTAATGTGCCAGGGGATTTTTGGTCTTTTCTCTGTGTATATACATACATATACTTTTTTGACTCAATTTGGATCAAAAAATATGGGGGTTTTTGGTAACAGCTTTAGATATAATTCACATACCATACAGTTCACCCATGAGTGAATTCACCAAATGAGAGAGAGCAGAGGATGGCCCAGGTTAGCGCAGGGACCATGGGGGCTGAGGAGGGTACAGGTGTCTGTGTCATCATGAAGGCCAGCTCCCTAGGACTACACCCCAGTTGACATGGGGACTCAGTGCACACTCAGGTGGTAACAAGGCATGGCGAGGTCCAGAATCTTCCATGTGGAAGATGAAGTGGCCAATGGAAGATGAGGAAGCCACACTCCACGGTCATTTAGGGGCAGACATCGGGGAGGACAGGCTGACGGCTGGCAGCAACTCTGTTCTGTGCTCTGCTCTGCGGGCAGCAGTCTTTCTGCAAAGCCCTGGAAGAGTGACCTTCACTGACCTGGCGAGGTCATCAAACTCTCTGCTCACCTGGACATCCTGAGGAGAGACCCAGGACCAGGCAGCACATTGTCACTTTCTGAGAACTTGACTTCTTTTACTCACACACACAGGGTGTTGAAAAAGCTCCTTAGAACAGCTTCTCTCCTATGGATGACAACGTCCTTACTTCCCAAACTATTAAAAGAGAAAAGGGCAGGGGCTCCAGGGGGCTTCTGGGGGCTGGTTACATAGGTCTATGCTGTTTGTGAAAATTCACTGGGCTCTGCCCTTAATCCACGTGCACTTTGCAGCATAAATGTTGTTCCTCAATAAAAAATGAAAACCAGAGAGGCTGGGGAAAGAGAACTAGCACTGAGTCTGTCTCTGCACAGGCCCTTTCCGTAGGGTCTGTCATCTCATCCCCTCTCACAGTGACCCTGGCTGGAAGGTATTAGCCCCGTTTCACATGGACACAAGGCTGAGTCCAGGGACGAGTTTTACATGAACTGTAGGAATTCAGAAGGATTTCCCGTAAAGCTGAGGATACAATCTGGGCTAGGCAGATTAGACTAATGATAACAGTGAAGGAACAGGAAATAAAACATTGTTTCTAGATGAGTGCTGATCTTTGATTCAGAATCCAAGATCCAATGTTGATGGATCAGATTTCGGTCCCAGGCCTCTCTGATTCCAAGCCCTATGGGATTTCCTTATACTAATCCTTCTGATAACAACCACACATCATATTGAATAAGCATGTACGGTGTAGGGCAATTTCATGTATCATTCCATTTGTTTTAGAATGATGGAGCCCAGTGTTGACCGGCCTTCTCAGAGCACAGGGAACATGGTCAAGGCAAGCTCATCTATGGCTGTAGAGCCATAGAGATGAGGCAGGGAGAAGGAAACAAGGACATTCAACACCAAGTTTATAACATTGTATGGGTTTCAGGTGTATAATAGTATAATTCAACATCTATGTACACTACAGCATGCTCACCACCAAAAGTGCATTTTTCATCCATCACTGTATAATTGATTCCCTTTACCCATTTTGTATTCTCCCCAATGGTTTCTTTAAACATGACAACAAAAGCTCAAGCAAAGTAAGAAAAATATAGATAAACTGGACTTCATCAAAATTAAAAACTTGTATGCTTCAAAGGATCAAGAAAACCATCAAGAAAGTGAAATGAGAATAACCCACAGAATGACAGAAAACATTTATAAATCATATATCTGATATTGTATACAGACTATAAAGAACACTTACAATTCAACAATAAAAAGATAAATAGCCCAATTTTAAAATGGACAAAGGATCTGAACAGACACTTCTCCAAAGGTAGACAAATGTCCAGTGAGCACATGGAAAGACTGTTGACATCCTTAGTCATTAGAGAAATGCAAATCAAAACCACAGTGCGATGCACCCCCAGGATGCCTACAGTCAAAAGTCAGAGAAGAGCAAGTGTTGAAGATGATAGGGAGCGACTGGAACCCTCACACACTGTGGGTGGGAATGCAAGATGGAGCAGCTGATCTGGAAAACTATGGGACAGTTCCTAAATGCTAAATATGAAGTTACTGTATGACCCAGCCATTCTGCCCCCAGGTATATACCCCAGACATGAAAACAGGTGTCCATACAAAAACTTGTATGTGGATTTTCATAGCAGCATTACTCTCAATAGCCCCAAAGTAGGAGGAAACCAAATGCCCATCTACTCCTGATGGAGAAATAAAATGTGAAATATCCAGACAAGGAATATTATTTATCCATAAGAACGAATGAAGTGGTGATACAACATCAACAAATCTTTCACTATGCTAAGTGAAGGAAGCCAGTTACAAAGACCGCATATTGTCTGATTTCATGGATACGCAATGTCCAGAACAGGCAAATCCATAGAGACAGAGAGTAGACTAGTGGTGGCCAGGGGAGGGGGGAGAGGGGAACGTGAAGTGACTGCTATTGGGGACAGAGTTTCTTTCAGGGGCGATGAAAACGCTCTGAAATTAGATAGAGGCGATGGCTGCACAATTCTGTGGCTATACTACAACCCACTGAAGTGTACATTTTCAGTTGGTGAGCATTATGTATGGGAATAAAGGTGCTATCAAAGTAAAAGATAAAGCACCAAGCTGTTCCCAAGGAAGAACTCCAGGGGCAGGAAGGGCTGGGTGCCAGAGAGCGATGGAGCCTGGTAAACAGAGGAGCAGAGTAAGAAGTGGGGAGACCAGTGCTTTCCCCAAGTTGGCCCCTTGTGTGTTACCTGATTGAGGTAGTGGAAGGTCAAACAGTCACTCATGTCTAAGGGCTTTGAAACGGAGCTGGGAAGCCATGAAGGAAATGGCTCCTATACACATCCTTAGGGAGCAGAACATGACCTTCTGAAATGAGTAACCGGCAAGAACCTGCAGCCCCTCACAGTGATGGGCTTTTGCCCCCCTCTAGCTGGACTTAGCACTCAATTATTTTTAGCCAAGATTAGCTTTCTGCTCCCAAACCCAATTAACATTCTTAGTATGCAAACTTCCCTTTCGGTGTCTTTAAAAGCCTCTGACTTTTACTCCCTAGGGGGACACTATTGGGGTTTCTACCCGAATCTGTGCTCCCTGAATTGCAACTCTCTGATCCCGCAATAAACGCCTCTCTGCCTCTCATTTTCGTTCTTCACTTGTAGGTTAATCAGGCCAGTGGTGCGTGTCTGACTCCTGCCCAGCACTTGGGTTTCTGTTTTGACTCGAGCCACAATATCAGCAAAAGCTGCAAAGCGAATATGCTCCTGATCTTTTCGATTTGTTCTGTCTTCTAGGCTTAGCCTGAAAGCTGACTCTGTAAACGAGCCCTTTGCTCAGCGCTGCCAAGACTTGGTTAAAGTCATTGAGGAGTTTCCCGCAAAGGTACAGCTCTGCTAGCGTCTCTGCGGCGTGTCTCATACACTCCTTGTGAAATGTTTTACTGATCCCCACCTCTGAGCACTGGCCTACGGAGGCCTGACCTGCACCGTAACCATCACATTCACAGACACAGAGAAACCCGTGGACATGCAGGCCAGGATCGCGCCAGGCCTCCCCGCGGCCGCTCTGCTCCCGCTCGGGCTCACCGGCGTCCTGTGAGGTGAGCATGGGGGCCCCTCCTACAGATGGGGAAACTGAGGCTCGGAGAACTCAAGCCACACAGGGAGGAGGGCTCGGGGGCCACACCGCTGGCTGACCCGAGGCTCCACTTTAATCGGAGCTCCCTTCCTCCGGCCCGTTCACCGCGCGGTGACCGAGCACCGCCGGGGCAGGCGCGGGAGGCGGCGGGAAGGTGGCAGGAGGGCGCTGCCGGCCCGGCCCGGCCCGGGGCTCGCGGAGGAACGGAGACGGCTCCAGCGGAGGTTTGGGGAGGTCGCCAGGACGCGGGGCGGTTCCGCGCACGGCTCCCGCCACTGACCTGTGGGGTCCACAGTGTGGCTCGGCTCTGCGACCAAGACCACCATTCGGCTACCGGCGCCAAAATGTCATAATAAAGGCGCGCGACGGGTCACGTACCCCGGCCTGGCTGAAACTACGTCGCAACCTTTGCAGGCTGCCACCACAAAAGGCGCATGCGCAAAAGGAAGGTAGGCCGGCCGCGTTTGTGGACCCCCCCCCAACCCCCAATTGCGCGTGCGCGGTAAGGGCGGCTGCGTCCTTTACGCTTGAGCTGGCAGAGCCGTCCCGGCCCTAGTGGGTGGGGCTGCCTGGGAGGCCAGGCGGTGGCGCTCCCGGGAAGGCGACCGGCCCCAACGCCGGTAGACAGGGGAGTGAGAGCGCACGGTGGGCGGAGTCCGGGACAGGGGCCTGGGGGCCCCAGGTACAGGAGGCGGCCTTGCAGAAACTCGCGCTGGGGCCGAAGACGACGCTGAGCGCCCAGGAGATGGACCCGGACAAGCCGTGCAGGCGGCGGACTGCGCCATCCACCCCGCTGTGTTCAGTGAGTGGGCGCGGGCGGGGCTGCGCGCTCGGTAACCCCCGACACCCCTGCTCTCCGCCCCCGCCCTTGTCGGAGCCCCTGAGGCCCAGGGCAGAATCGGGGTTTGAGGGTGGCAGCCACGCCCGCCCGCTGTTGCCGAGCCGCCCGGCCCGGGCAAGGAGGGCTCCCTGCGCACGGAGTCTGTCTCTGCAGGAGCCCGGTTGCCCTGCTGACGCTGCACGTGGCGCCCCTCGCCGTCCTCCAGATGCTCCATCCTTGTGCCAAGCAGAGGCTGCTGAGCGAGCCCCAGGCCCCTGCGGCCGTGTCTGCCCCCATTGAGCCTGACTGAGACGAGAGGTCAGAGTTCGGTCTGGTGCTCCCTGGCCCTGTATCCCGGGCGGCGAGGGGGCAGCGCCGGGCACGGGGCGGCCTTGGCCCTCAGTGGCCAGGCCTGTCCGTCGGTCTTGTCCCAGGACCCGCTGGGCCATCCAAGGGCTCGCCCCTGGGGCTCCAGTCCCCAGCTTCGGCCTGGCTGCCTCCCTGGAGAGAGCACCTGCGGATCGGGTGGACGCAGAGCTGGTGCCCCAGGGAGGCCAAGTAGGCTGGGCCTCATCTGGGACATTTGCTACCCCAGCCTCTCCTCCCCTCTGCGCTCCTGCCTTCGTTCCACAAACCCGGGATGGAGACTGCTTTGGTGCCTGTGCTCATGGTTTGTCCGGCCTCAGGGAAGCGCTCAGGGAGCTGGGCAGGCAGAGGCCTTCCTGCCACCCCCTCACCTGTACCCCACTCGCCTCAAGTCCTGCTCTGGAGTCTGGCCAGATGAGCTTCCCTCCTCGGGTTGTGGGATGGGAGTGAGCGTGGCAGCCCCTGGCTGTCCTGGACACTCAGGGTGCAGAGGCCGGAGTGGCAGAGCACTGGGCTCAGGTGTGAGGGGCCTCCACACTCTCGAGGGTCATGACTGAGGCGTGAACAGGTGCTGGTGACAAGGTGTCACTGTGCAGCTCCAAATGCTTCCTCCCCATGTGTCCCTTCTGCTCCCAGGTGCTATCAGAAACCCTCTGACGTGCAGCCGAACCTCCTGGGCTGGCTCCTTGCCCAGAAGCACGGGGCTCTCTCAGACACCCGGAGAAGGGCTGACGCTTGGGTGGAGAGCAGCCTGGGCCCCTGTGGGCAGGAGTGCCAGGGTCCTGGGTCCCCAGATCCCCTGTCCTGTGCCGCCCGGGCACTCGAGTGCTGGCCTCCTCACTGACCCACGCTCTGTCAGCTCTCTCTGTGTCTCTGACCTCCAGGGCCTCTTTCTCTCTGCCAAGAACTGTAGCCCCCACAAGGCCCTCCTTTTCCTGGGCCTGCGGCCTCTGCGGCCTCTTCAGTCTCTGGTCCATGGCCCCGCTGCCCCGCACTCGCCTCTCTCTCCCGGACCCCCCGGGTCCCTCCGGTTCTCTTGCTGCCCATTCTCTCCTTTTACAGGTTGCGTTTATTGGTGTATCTCTGGGGGTTGGGGCTCTCTCTTATTTCCATGGAAACTGCCGTGGTCCCCAGAAAGCCAGAGCAGCTTCGAGCGGCAAGGGCAGGACCCTGTGGGCCATCCCTGCCATCAGCTTAGAGACCGAGGGCAGTATTTCAGGGCTCGCTTTATTAGAGACAACTCGCAGTCCTTCTGGAACGGGATCAACACCCCCCCCCACCCCCCCAGGGGCTAACTCAGCTGGGTGAGACTCAGCTCTGTAGAGGTGTCCTCACCCCAGAGAGGGACAGCAGACCAAGGGGCAGGGAAGGAGCAGCGTGGTGCACTGTGCAGAGCAAAGCCCTGGGTGTGAGAAACGCCTCAGCCTCTGAGATGCTGTCGGCCACCTGGGTGGGCAGCCTGAGGGCAAACTGTGACTATTCTTTTCTGCCTGGTTTCTAAACTGAAAGTATGTTCCAGGCTTTTCCAGGGGTGTGTGAGGGAGGGCTGAGATCCCTCCTGTGCTCTGGCTTCACCCTCCTTCCCGCCCCTCCCCATGTCGCCCACCTGGAAGTTCCAGGTGCCACCTGGAGCTCAGGCCAGGGAGGAGTGGGGCAGGGCCGAGGGGCAGGTCAGGGGAGGGGTGGGTGGACTAGCAGCTGAGCTGAGGAATCGAAGGGTGAGTTTCCAGAAGGAAGGAGAAACCGGAAACAGAGCCCTCCTCCCTCGAGGGGTGTTGGGGCTCATGCACTGAGGACTCTGGGTGCCAGGCCGGCTCTAGCACTGGGGGCACAGTGGGACTGTGAGGTGGACATGCTCTTGGTCCAGGGAGGGAGATGGCTAGACAAACCGATAGTAACAGACGGGAGGAGGCCAGTGCAGCTGGCCTTGCTAGAGCAGTAAGGGTTGAGCAGGCTGAGGGGCCCTGGGAGCCAGCTGCAGTGTCCTTGACCTGCAGCCCTGTAGGGGGGAGGTGGGGAGGGGCTGAGAGAGGAAGGGCAGGCGGGGAGGCAGGGCAGAGCGTGGATCCAGTGGATCCAGGCCATTGGTGGGAGCGGGGCCTGAGCTGGGGGTGCAGGAAGAGGGAGAGAGCGGAGAGTCAGGAGGGGTGCTGTGGGAGTGGCGCTGGGAGCACTGGCATAGAGGGGTTGGGAGGTCAGAGGGGGCTCTGAGGGAGGTGGGGAGGAAGCCCTGAGCACGGGGACAGGAGTGGAGCACTGGGCTACACAGGGTCGTTTTCGGCTCAGGTGCTCAGGCCTTGGGTCCTACTGGGCTGGGCGGCCAGCGGCCAGGATACCAGGACACGGGGGCCCTGGGGAGATGCCTGATGGGGTAGAGGGCAGCCTGGGGAGGGCTTTGATGGGGAGGAGGAGGAGGGGAGTGGCAGATGAGGGGCCATGCCAGGAATGTGCTGTGGCCAGGAGGCCGAGGCCAGCCGACAAGACATATCTCTGAGGCCCCTGTCGCAGTGTCTGTGCACAGAGACCTTCCTACCACGTCATTAATGGCAGGATCTGGGGCGGAGAAAATAAAGAGTTGTCAGAGTGTTTTTCCAACTGTGGGGACCGTGGTGGCCCAGGAGGACGAGGGGGTTTGGGGCTGTGGGCACTCACTGGCCTTAGGTTTCCCACAGAATCGGGGTGTGCAGCTGCTCCAGGCTGTGGGCTGAGGGGCTTGACTCTGTCTGGGTTCCTGACCCCTGGCCATCGAGGTGGCCCGTGGGGACTGTCACCGACCAGCTCACTCATTTCTGCATTTTCCCGCAGAAAAGGGGGAAGCAGAACACCCCGGAAGCACCGAGGGGGAATGCTTGTCATGGGGGCACGTGGGTCACTGAGGAAAGAAATTCAGTGGAGTGCTCCCTGTTGAAGTTCAGGAAACTACATTTTAAAAGATGTCCCTCCAGGACGTGGGGGATGAACGTGGTGCACCAAAGCTGTGGTCCTCGCATGCAGCTTTACTGTGCTTTGCGGGAGCCACAGGCCCCAGCCTGGTGCGGTGACAGGCGCTAGGTGTGTGGGCACCCGCCACGTGCCCAGGTGCCGAGGGACGGGCGCAAAGAGGGAACGTCTCACCTCACACGTGATTCTTATACTGATTCCATGTTGAAGTGATAATATGTTGGATATTTTGGGTTAATTAAAACAGATATTTAAATTAATTTCCTGTTTCTTGTTACTTTTTGTGTGGCTATAGAAAATTTAAAATCACATGTGTGGCTCACATCACATTTGTATTGGACAGTGCTGCTCCAGAACATTCGCACAGCACTTCCAGAACACTGCGTCAGGGCTGTGTGCATGTGCGGGGAGGGGTCACCGGGCACGTCCAGGTGGGAGAACACCTTCCCAAGAAGCGCAGGCTCAGTCCAGGGTTAAAGTGCACGTGTGCGCGTCCATGGTGCACATCGGTCATTACATCTGTAACGTGTTCTGGAAGCGCCGATTGAGCCCCTGCTGTGTGCCCGCCAGAGGGGCAGCGGGCCTGGCTGGTGGGTGCAGACCTTCCTTCTGGTGGGCTCTCCACCCACCAATGGACGCCCTGGCCGCCCACTCGCCCTGGCCTCCACCCTGCCGGGCAGCCTTGACAATCTTGGGTGGCCGCTGTGCTGCCATGCTGGCTGCAGTGCGCTCCCACAGCAGGGCTGTCGTGTGTCTGTGCTCTCCCCATTTCTACCCCGTCCTCCCTGCCCCCTGTTCTTTTCCTCTCACAACATGCATTCAGTCTACACTCACGGCCAGTCACTAATATTTGCCTCCACGGCCGCACTGGCCCGTTTCCCCATGAGGGGCCGCTCCCATCACGAAGGACAAAGGCCGCTTTTGGGGACCAGCAGGAAGGGATGGGAGCAGCAGCTCCTCTGGGCTTTTTATAAACTGTGCTTGTCAAGTAGCTCTGCCAGGAGAGCTTGCAGGGGACGGTGAGTGGGGATCACAGGGGCCACACCAAACAGCGATGGCAGAGAGGGTCCCACTGGTTATGGCCGCCTTCTCAGCTTCAGGGCTCCCGAGTCACAGGTGGCTGAGAGGCTGGTGTGTTTTAGTTTTTCTTCATTAGAGGGTCACGGAACACTGAGTGGCCTCAAGGTAGCTTTAGGGGTGGGAGTAGCCCTGACCTTGAAGACAATAAGCCAAACCATTTAGAACATTCAGTGATCACTGTCTGTCTGTGATGCCTAAGAGAGCCCCTCCGGAAGTGGGCCTGGGAGCTCGTCCCCCGCTCCCCACCCCAGCCCGCAGTCACCCTTGGCTCAGCCCCACCTCAAAGTTACACTGCTTTCTTATTGCCGGGGTTCATGAGCCTTGTCAGATTTAAAGATGAATGTTGTTTGTTAGGGTCCTCCAGTTGGTAACAAAGCTTTGTGAAAACCTGAGGGTCCGTTCACGGTGTTCTCTATCGCCTTCTGAAGATGTTAAGGCACAAAGATTTAGAATTCGTTCCGTGTGCTGGTCCTGGTTATGCTACAGCTGAACTAACCAAGTGACTGAGACCAGTGACCTCCCCCTCCGCGACCTCAGCTTCGGGTCTCAGAGAAAATACCCGTATTACTGGGTCTTTTATAAACAGACGTCAGCACGTTTTGCTTAAAGTGAAAGTTAGGACGCTTTTACTGAGACTGTGGACAGTGAGGACGAGGATGAATTGTGTTGTCACCTACAGCTTCTAAGCTTCTGTGGGTCTTAAATGCTGTGGAGAATCCAAAAAACCCTTTTCCCCCCTAAGATGTCCTGACCTTGTACATTTGACTGACAGTTTTAGGGATTTTTGTGGACACTCCTCCTTTCACAGACCTCAGATTTTAAAATTCCAGTTCTAAGCTTTTATACTTTAGTCCACATGCCGCATCAATGAAGGAGCCTGAAAAATGCAAATTACATTGAAAACCTAACACAGTTTTCCTAGAATTTAGTAAATCTTTGTGCTTTGAAACCTTGCATTGGGAACACTGACTATTTCACCCCCCTGTGCCGACCCCCCACCTCCTCCCCCTGGTAACCACTGAACTGTTTTCTTAGTCCATGTGTTTGTTTATATTCCATATATGAGTGAAATCATCTGGTGTTTGTCTTTCTCAGTCTGGCTTGTTTCACTTAGCATAGTACCCTCCGGGCCCATCCATGTTGCTGCAAATGGCATAAATTTGTCTTTTTTATGGCTGAGTAGTTTCCATTGTATGTATATACATCACATCTTCTTTATCCAATCATCGGACGATGGGCACTTGGATTGTTTCCATGTCTTGGCTATTGTGAATAGTGCTGCAATGAACATAGCGGTGCATATGTTACTTTGGACTGTTGATTTCAAGTTGTTTGGGTAGATACCCAGTAGTGGGATAGCTGGGTCTATGGTGGTTCTATTTTTTAGTTTTTTGAGGAATCTCCATACTATTTTCCATAGTGGCTGCACGAGTTTGCATTCCCACCAGTGGTGTACGAGGGTTCCCTTCTCTCCACACCCTCTCCAACATCTGTTATTTTTAGTCTTAGTGATTATAGCCATTTAACAGGCATAAGGTCGTATCTTAGTGTAGTTTTGATTTGCATTTCCCTGATGATTAGTGATGTTGAACATCTTTTCATGTGTTTATTGGCCATCTGTATCGTCTTTGGAAAAATGTCTGTTGGTATCCTCTGCCCATTTTTCGATTGAGCTGTTTGGTTTTTTGTTGCTCAGTTATGTGAGTTCCTTATATATTATGGAGATTAACCCCTTGTCAGATATATGATTTGTGAATATTTTCTCCCAGTTGGGGGTTGTCTTTTTGTCTTGATCCTAGTTTCTTTTACCTTGCAGAAGCTCTTTAGTCTAATGAAGTCCTACTTAATTATTTTTTCTTTTGTTTCCCTTGGCTGAGAAGACATGGTATTCAAAAAGATCTTTTTAACTTCCATGTTACAGAGTGTACTACCTACAATATCTTCCAGGAGTTTTATGGTTTCAGGACTTATCTTCAAGTGTTTGATCCATTTTGAGTTTATTTTTGTGTATGGTATTGATATTGAACCTGAAGTGAGTTCGCTCACCCATTGCGCAACAAGCCAATCTCTGACACCAGGGGTAGTGGAAGAAAGTAGGAATTTTATTATTGCACAGTGCTGAGCAAGGAGAAAGGGCAGTGAACACTGAAATCCCAAACTCCCCAAAAAGCTAAAAGGAAGAGTTTTTATTTGGAGTTTTAGGTAGGGGAGGGGGAGCATATGGCCTTGCTGGTCAGCGCTCTCCCACCAGCCTGTCTTTGGCCTTGAGACACTTGCAGAGAGGAGGGAGCCCGTGACCTTGCCGGTCAGCAGCTTTTCCACCAGCCTGTATCTCTTTGTGGGGAGGAGATAGTGAATCCAGGTCCTTGTCCTTGGCGGTGTCTGTCTCCATGGAGGATGGTGGATTCTGGAGCCAGGAAGCCAGGGAGTAAGCAGGGAATGAGTGTTTTGGTTTTAACCCCATATATGCTAGGTGTAATGTGGGGAAACTGATATCAGGGCTGGTATCAGCATGAGATAATGGTCTACTTTCATTCTTTTGCAGGTGGCTGTCCAGTTTTCCAAACACCATTTATTGAAGAGACTGTCTTTTCTCCATTGCATGTTCTTGGCTCCTTTGTCGAAGATTAGCTGCCTGTAGATTTGCAGTTTTATTTCTGGGCTTTCAGTTCTGTTCCATTGATCTGTGTGTGTCTGTTTTTGTACCAGTACCACGCTGTTTTGATTACTATGGCTTTGTAGTCCATTTGAAGTCAGGGATTGTGATGCCTCCAGTCTTGTTCTTTTTTCTCAGGATTGCTTTAGCGATTTGGGCTCTTTGGTTGCCCCATATGAATTTTAGGATTCTTTGTTCTATTTCTTGAAGAATGTCATTGGGATTCTGATTGGACTAGCATTGAAGCTGTAGATTGCTTTGGGTAATATGGACGTTTTAGCTATGTTTATTCTTCCAATCCATGTGCATGGAATCTCTTTCCATCTCTTTATTCATGATCTATTTCTTTCAATAATGTCTTGTAGTTTTCATTGTATAAGTCCTTCACCTCCTTAGTTTTCATTGTATAAGTCCTTCACTTCCTTGGTTAAATTTATTCCTAGATATTTTATTCTTTTTGTTGTAATTGTAAATGGAATTGTATTCTCGAGATATTTTTCTGTAAGTTTGTTATTAGAGAATAGAAATACAACTGATTTTTGTAAGTTGATTTTGTACCCTACAAATTTACTGTAGTTGTTAATTATTTCTAATAATTTTCTGATGGGTTCTTTAGGGTTTTCTATATATAAGCTCATGTCATCGGCAAACAGCAAGAGTTTCACTTCTTCACTCCCTATTTGGATTCCTTTCATTCCTTTCTCTTGCCTAATGACTCTGGACAAAACCTCCAGTACTATGTTGGATAAGAGTGGTATAATGGGCATCTTTGTCTTGTTCCTGTTCTCAGAGGGATGGCATTCAGTTTTCCCTCATTGAGTATGATGTTGGCTGTGGGTTTGTCATAAATGTCTTGTATTATGTTGAGGTAATTTCCTTCTATCCCCATTTTGTTAAGAGTTTTTTAGCATAAATGGCTGTTGGATCTTGTCAAATGCTTTCTCTGCTCTACTGAGATGATCATGTGGTTTTTATTCCTCGTTTTGTTAATGTGGTGTATCACATGGATTTGTGGATGTTAAACCACCCCCATGTCCCTGGTATAAATCCCGCTTGATCATGATGTATGATCTTTTTGATGTATTGCTGTATTCGGGTTCCTAATATCTTGTTGAGGATTTTTGCATTGATGCTCATCAGCAATATTGGCCTGTAGTTTTCCTTTTTTGTGTTGTCCTTGTCAGGCTTTGATATCAGACTGAATTTTGGCCTCATAGAATGTGTTAGGAAGGCTCCATCTTCCCTAATTTTTTGGAATGGCTTGAGAAGGATAGGTATTAAATCTTCTCTGAAAGTTTGGTAGACTTCTCCAGGGAGGCCATCTGGTCCTGGGCTTTTATTTTTTGGGATGCTTTTGGTTGCTGTTTCAATCTCTTTACTTGTGATTGGTCTATTCAGATTGTCTATTTTTTCTTGATTTGGCTTTGGGAGGTTGTAAGAGTCTAAGAATTTATCTGTTTCCTCTAGTTTCTCCATTTTGTTGGCATATAGCTTTTCATAGTATTCTCTTATAATCTGTTGTAT